AATTCAAAAGATTTCGCCCTTAAATGGGTTCCGCAATGAGCCCGGAAACACTGGCCTTATATCTTTGGGCGGCTACCTTACATTCTGGGGATGGTTCTATATCATTGTCACACTAGTTCTAGCTGTCCGGAAAAGGGAAGAGAAATCCAACGATCGAGATGGCATCCTCGCCGTCTACAAAAGCATGTGGGGCGTATTGAAGCTGACCAACATTCACACCTTAATAATCGTACACCTCATCGCAAAGATTGGGTTCCAGGCCAACGATGCAGTTACCAGTCTGAAGCTAATTGACCAGGGCTTTGGCCAAGAGAACATGGCACTCGTCGTTCTAATCGATTTTCCCTTCGAAATTGGTCTGGGATACTATGCCGGAAAATGGTCGAACAGATATACGCCAATGAGACTTTGGTGCTGGGCATTTGTTGCCCGCCTATTCGCTGCACTTCTCGCACAGGCAGTTGTCATGGTTTTCCCAAAGGGTGACGGGCCAATTCCTACCTGGTATATCCTGGCTGTTATTGGCGAACATGTCTTCTCCACGTTCATGATGACTGTTATGTTTGTGGCTATTTCCGCCTTCCACGCACGCATCGCTGACCCCGTCATCGGTGGGACTTACATGACCTTACTCGCAACGTGAGTCTCCTACATATTGGTCACCCCTCTAATCCCCGCACATTCACAAAAAACACGGTTTATATGACTAAGCTGATATGTATTGCACAGTGTCTCCAACCTGGGCGGAACTTTCCCCAAATTTTTCATTCTCAAACTGGTCGATCTCTTCACGAACGCAACCTGCATACCGCCCACAGAAACACCTGCGGGCATAAAAGATCCTATCACGGCGCAATTTTCCTGCGCACTCGAAGCAGACAAGCTTCGCTGTGAAGCTGGCAAGGGTGTTTGCCAGGTCTACCGCGACGGGTACTATACTACCAACATTATATGTGTAATTATCGGCACAATTACATTCTTCCTATATATCAGACCGGCTGTTCTCAAGGTGCAACAATTGCCATTACGCGCATGGCGACTTAACGGCAATAATAGGCAGGCATAGAATTTTCTCTGATTTCTCGTTCTCTTTCTTCCCATCTTCTCTTCTTTTCACCAAAAATAAAAAGACTCCTTGTACTCTTTGACTAACTGTTTTAACTGTACACCTTTTTATTCATGTTCGAAAAGCGTAGTTTTTGATCTGAGAGGGATCCTTGGCTCTTTTTTCTCCTCTCCCTTTTGCTGTCTTGTCCTTCAGCATTCCCAAACGTCTCAAATAAACAGTGCATTTTCTCTAGACTGTTCAGTCTGTGTGTACAATACTATCGATATATTTGAAAACTTTTCATATTAAATTCTCTTTATTTTCATTTTTTCATTTTTCATTTTTTCTTTCTCGAAGCCTCAATGTTGTTCTCACACCTCGCAATATCACCTTTTCTATTTCCTTCTAACATGAATAACTAACTAATAGCAGAAAAAGAATGATATGCATAGCTCATCTACTGTGTGGATGATGCAGTACCAGAACGGGCAAAATAGGTCTAGAACAGCAGCGCAGCTCTGATTTTTAGGAGGAAGTTGTCAGATCCATTTCAATTATCATGTTTGAGTGCTTTGAGGGATCTTGAATACAGAGGTCTTCTAGGACAGCATGCAAGGAGAAGTAGCAACACAAAGAGAGGACAATTCTTGACCAAGAAACAGCTCACCGGTCAGCAATAATGTAGAACATGGTCAATGATTTCCACATTATACCTATCAATGTTCATATTATGTGATTAGCTTGCAGTGATGTTCTTTTTTCATGACATTGTATCTTGTGGCAATTGGCCGCAGCATGGCAGGATATCCTTTTCGTAGAGGCCACAAAATATGCAATGTAACTCTCTGGCTGGCTGGCATCAACCTAGCGACAGATCAACAAGAAGGGTCAATTGTGTATGTTTTGCGTTAGGCGTTGGCATTCCCCAATCTTCGCATGGCATCAAACAGCCATTGAAGCATTACACGGTGCCGCTTCTTATCCCAAGGAGTTCTCTCGATTGGCTTTTCGTCCACCCTTCCCACCGGGTTAACATGCTGCTACACAAACATCTACGACCAGCAGAAACAGGATATGTACTTATAGATGCACTGGATTAATTGGCAATGAATCTAACCTACCTAGATCCCGCAGCTGGCCCTGATCAGAGTTACAGAAAGGTGGTGCCGTCCCAGCATTTTACTCCAGCGCTAGTCAACCCATTGTTCTCCTTCATAGGCCAACAATACCATTTGACACAGTTATTCCTGGCGAAAGGATCATATTCCTGGGCGCAAAATTAATTAATCAGACAGAACAAGGTAGATATCGTATATGACAAAAACCACATCCACCCACACACACACAGAGAGAAGAGAGAAGAAAAGAGAAAAATAGAGTTTTATATATAGACACATCACCAGAATAAAAGTATATTCACGGAAATTAAACGCGGAATAAGAAGATAAATAAATCCTTAAGATCACAACATCAGCATCCTCCGCCCTGTTCAGTAACCTCTCTGCCCACAGGAAAACGGAACAATAAGAGCAGTGAAGGGGAAAAAAAGACAATGCAGAAAGGAAAAATTACGTACAAGATCATACTGGGTTGAATAAAGAGAAGTTGAGTGTGAAATGCCCACAAAAGGGAAGCGCACGACTGGAAAAATAAATTTGGCTAAATTGAAATAAGGAGATCAAAGAAAGGGGGAAGGTTCTTCGCTCTGGCCCAGATGATTGTGCTAGGCCTTTGTTATACTAAGTTCATTTTTTTTTGTTGCCTCTTTAAAAAATTAATCTCCCATCACGTCATCATCAATTTCGTCAGGGGCGGGGGTCGGCTCCAAATCCTGATCAGCTTCTCCCATACCAAGCCTATCCTCTTCATCATCGATTAGCTCTCGTGCCACTAAGTCGCCTTCTTCATCTTCCTCTACCCGTGCCATCTCGTCTTCGTCACCATCGTGATCTTCAGCCGTCTCCGTTAATTTCATCTTCCCATTAATTTTCTTCAATCGAGCCCCAGAAGGTCCAGAGCCGTTAATTTCTATCTGTTCGGTTTGCAGTCTCATATTGTCCGTAGCCGAAGCTACTCTCTTCCCACCAGCTTTTCCAACATCAAGAAATGCCACAACTTCCTTATAATTCTGCCCGAGGCGATTCTTGTTCCGCAATAGCTTCTGTTTTAACTTCCCACCTTGACGCCCTGAAACATCAAGTACACCGCCAACGATAGCAAGGACCATCTTGCCCGTGAGTTGGCATAATTTCTGCTCAGCCAACAGCACATTCCGAACTCTGTGGGCAGCTAATATTTCCCGTATTTCCTCATCAGCCTCGTCTTCATCGTCATCACCACCTGATGGACTGGTATTGTTATCCGACGACGAGTCCATGGGCTCGTCATCGTCTGCTATTTCAGCGACTTCCAGCTTCCGTCGAGACTTTTTAGCGAATGTCCGTTCCACTTTGTCGTGCAAACGGGAAATGAGAGCTTGGGTTTCAGGGACGATTTCTTGCGTTAGGCTTTGGATTTGGAGAATAACTTCATCATTCAGTGACGGAACGGTGTTCTTTTTGCCCTGAACTCTTGACCCGGAAGTACGAAGCGTTCCAAACACCGTTTGGAGGTCAAGGAGGGTAAACGTAGCAGATACTCTAAGTTCATCAAGCCCCGAACGTCCTTGGATTGTAGAAGTAAGGATCGCCACAAAGGCATCTCGACGAGCAGAAAGTGAATCGCAAAAATCGGTATCAATGGATGAATCACCTGATGCCAGTGCAGTTCTTATGAAACGTACCTTCCACATAAAATAGATAAGAAGGGTTTTAAAGCTGTTGGTCACAAGATCGAATTCCAACCTCTCAATCTCCTCATCGGAGTCCTCTGCCCGGAGACCCCGTTTGCTCAAGTTGAGAATAATATCAATAGGTGGTTCCGTTGACAGTTTTTGCTTTTTAGACGGAGCACGAGGTTCAGATTCCAAAATGGAACTGCAGTCAGATACACTTGCGAGGTTTGAAATCCGCATCACGGTATTAGACAGAGCGGTAAGAACACTGGCGGAGAGAGAGGGTAATTCCTCCTTGCCTTTGGTTACAGATAGCGTGCGCAAGACTTCAATGGTATCATCCCAGAGCTCTTGCACCTTCGATTCCATGGCTTCTCTGAGTTCGTCAGAAGTGCGCGCATGTAAGAAGGCTATTGTGGCCTCAGCAAGGACAGATTGTTGCGAGTGCGTCAAGAATTGTTTGTTAATATTGCCAATGAGATCCGAATATGCAGCCGCATCCTTCTGAAGATCCTGGATCAAGTTGAGATCGACCAAATGCTCTAACTTCAAAATAGCAGAAGCGGCCTCAGGTGTTGATCCAAACTTATTTAGCAGTTGGGGGATTATCTGAGATAGACTGTGAGCAATAGATTCTTGCCGCTCCTCCATCCTTTCTACCAACAGCTTAGTCTTCCTGCCCTTCTTGTCTGTATCGGATTTGGCGACGTCCATGATATGAAGTTTCACTGCACAGCTTAAAACCTCCAGCAAGATCCCTTCCTGGCCTTCACTTAGTTTGTATAGCTGTTTCATAGTAGTGGCAGAATCGTCGTCAGTCGAAGTCTCTGGGATTTGTGAATGGTCGTAGAGGAGATACCCAGCCAAATGTTCCCATTGTTGGAGCTCTTCGAAATGGGAATATATAGCTTCCGTCGCGAGCACAAATCTCGAATCGACGCGACCAGTAAAACTTGTCCGTGAGATGGAAAGATCTTGGTCAGCTGGAACCTCCGATACTTGGCCATCATACACCTGTAGTACGTCCACTAAACATTTGTATTTTATCCAAGATGGGCGAGGCGTTTCGAAATTGTCTTCGCCATCGTCTTCCATAAATGTTTCGTGTAGTTCTTCCTCTAAACTCTCTGTAAGAGCATCATAGACGTCCTGGATATTCTCAACGAAGAATCTGCCAGCCGCTTTGCGCACACGGGGTACGCTATCGAATACAAGACGCCCAACGCTGTCGATATCATCTGGTTCAAGCAGTCCAGCCTCTCGAATCAAATCCAACAGCTCCACAACGTCGGCGCGGACACCTGGTTCAGCATCTCTAGCAGCCATCTCCACAATGCGTGGACGAAATCGTTCAGTAAATGCACGGAGCCCGGCAATGTTATCTTTATTCTGGTAAAGTCGATGGAGTTGTTTCACCACAGCAGATCTAGTATGAGAGACGGTATCTGAAAGGACCCAGCCCAAATAGCGCAGATATTGACCGTCGAAGAACATTTCTCTATAAGTATTAATCCACACGCCAAGTGCGTTGACGCACTCGGCGCGAATTTTCGGATCGACATCTCTGTAACGATGCACGAATACAGTGTCAAAGGAGTCGCCAAGGTAGCTATCAATCGCTTGTAGCTTCTTCTCTCCTTCTTGAACCTTTGATTGTATGGCATCGGCTCTGCCTTTATTCACCGATTTTTTCCTCTTCTCCGTATCCAATTGCTTCCGAGTATTCGATACAGTTAGAGAGACCTCTCTGGCAACATTGCACAACGTCGTCACAATTGCTAGAGAAATTATCGTGGCGGTATGTCTAAAAGGCCGAATAGGGGCGGACGACATTGACGTTACCCATACTTGGATGTTTTCGACAAGGGCAGAGTCGCTGTACAGGACTGATGAGCTGTGGATAGTTCGGATGAGAGAACTGAAGAAGCTGGTAAGGGTGTACTGGAAAGACTTGAATTTTTTGGATTTCGAAATGAGGGAGTATTCCGTAATGTTCTGTGCTTGGTATTCTTCTTGGAGGTCATTCAATCGACTCGCAACATTATCAACGTCTTCAATATCGTGGTCGTCCACTTTCAAATCAGTTCCAGTACATCTCAGGATAAAATTAACCAAATCGGTCATCCCTTTGATATTGTGCTGCTCGTACTTCGTAAGCCACTCTGCAGCAACAGCATCAGTAGTGTGACCTCGGGCGAAAACCTCAGCTAAAGGATAAAACGGGTCAGCAAAATAGAGAATACAAGTGAGGCGATTGGGTCCAGTTGTCCCTACCGTAAAGGCCATCCTCCTCAGCAAAATCACTTGGCCTTGTGCGCGGTTTTTTGAACTTCGATATTGGCCGATTTCCGTTGACAGCAGGGCGGAGAGTAAGCTCAGTCGTGAGGCCGTTGGTAATTTTTGGTTTCTTGGCTGTCCGCTTCGTGGGAGGCTTCCGGGGCTTTTTGGATTCCTTCGACGCCTTCTTCATCTTCTGAGCGGCCGCCTTCTTTCGCGCCGCCTTCCTGAGTTCCTTCAGTTCTTCTTCGTCGGGTACATCGCTCTCACTGTCTTCCTGTTCGTCTTCCTCCTCATCCTCCTCATCCTCCTCATCCTCCTCCTCTTCTTCCCGTTCTTCTACGGCCTCAGCCCCGCCTTCTCCTCCATCCGACGCGTCGTTCTCGTCCTCATCCCCGTCTTCCCTGCTGTGCGGCGCGCTTCCGCTTGGTCGTTCTGCCACCCTGCGATGGGCGACTCGAGGTATAGGCAGTCGACGAAAAGAGTTCAGGTTTCCGCTTCGCCCGCCCTGACTTTCTTCTGCTACTCGTATCTGCGCTCGACGACCTGGCATTTTCGCCGGGATCCGTAAGTGAGCTCGAGTCGCGCTCATCACCCTGAGCGGACGCATTCATCTTGTATTCTATGCGACGTCAGAATTGCTTCCCTCTGATCTAGTAACCAGTATGGTCGGTTGCGTATTTGCGCGGGGGTCTCTGTGTTTGCAGGAATCACACAGGGACGCGACTTGGTAGCATCGATATGGCCTGCCAGCGTGTAACGTGTCAAGGGCCAGGTGTCAGCAGTGAGAGAGTAAACGTAGTCCTTTACAAACAGGGGACAGGGCACAGATGGCGGGCAATGGTCTGGGTTGGGGAGATATCAAATCAAGCGTTGATAGTCAATGGTGGAGAGAAGCCGCAAGTTCGATTTCTGGTAAACGCGACGCTGAGAGATTGACCACGGCATTTCCCTTTTTGGGAACGTCCTGAGGGTGGTATGACGCTAGTGTATGGTATGGTAAGTTGCCTTACCTAAGGCAACTTCAACCTCAACGGGTTAAGTAACCACTGCAACTGCAACCGCATCAAAAGGATCGGCCCTTCAGGTGGGATCACACAACTAGTGGATATGTATGTATAATGGGCAATTTTCAACAGGAACCCATTCAATTCTGGTTGGGGTGCCCCTCGAGGTCGCAATATTCGACAACACGCTGCACAAAAGGACGGCTGGGCAATATCCGTCAAACAAATTGGGATAATCTCATGGTTGCATTCCCAGGGACATGTGGATGCGCCTTTCCGTCGGCATGCCTTGCCAGGTCGACTAGCGGCTTTCATTATGTCGCCGGCAAACGCGCCCTACTACATCATGGAGCTGATTTAAAGTACTGGTATAGTTAAATCAACTGGGTTGAATTTGTTGTATATATATATGTCCAAAGCATGGTCCATTTTTACCGTCAAAATGAATCCACTCCAAAATCGTCACTACTACTATATTTCTAGCAGCAGCAATTCAGCTACCAAAAAATTCAGAGCCTTCAGAATGGGGCTACTACCTAAGGAACCCGTCTATGTGACGTTTCCAACCACTCTTTCGTCGATGGAGAGCAGTCGGCTGCTTATTCGCCCTATCGTCGACACTGACTTGCCGGCGCTATTCGCGATCCGTTCGCGGCCAGAAGTGGCAGCGTACAAGTGGGCAATGATTCTTCCCCTCCGGGTTGTACAGCATGTAAACTGATACAACTACTCTTTACAATTGCTAATTCGTAACATCAAACAGCCACCCGAAAGAACCATTCAAGTCACTTGAGCAAACGCGTGAATGGTTGATGTTCAAGATTTACAAAGACGGCCCTCCAGATGTCGTGGGCCGTTCTTTCAATTTTGCTATCCTGGACAAGTCAATTCCTGATACCCAAGAGCAACTGATTGGCTACGTCAGTGTCAATATGGTCGTCCCATGTCCGGAAATTGGATACTCGCTTCTTCCCGAATCGTGGGGGAACGGTTACGCGACCGAGGCATTGCAGATGATGCTGAAAATTTGGTGGGATCTTCCGAGGCGGAATGATACTGAGAGTCGTGGTGGTGACGGTAGTGATGGCAAGCGTGCGGATAAAGTATATGCCATTTGTAAGGCAGGGAATCATGCGAGCAGAAAAGTGCTAACAAAGGCCGGGTTCGAGATCGCGGAGGAAATCACCTATGAAGGCGATGATCTTCTTCTATTCGCTACAGAAAGGCCCAAAGCATAGGGAATAACTCGCAACATGCTTGTGGCTATGGAAAACCTTGGCCGGGTGGTGTTGAAGAACTTGTTTGACTCAGGATATATAGCTTACTCGCCCCGATCTCAGCCAGGAATTGGTGGGATTTCCGCTGCCGATCTGTAAGACCTCACTTGTTATATTACCAAAGCCAGGAATGAATTTTAACAACTTATAACTTCTAGTGTATTGTAAACAATCGATCAAGTCTGGCAACGTTGAACGAATCATGAAAATGGGCCGCTCCCTTTGTCAGATCCCCTTGGGGCTCGTGACTTGGTAAGGAAGCAAGTTGGTCCTGAATAGGATACTAGAGCATTTATCAATGATTGAAACGTACGGAGTATATAATATCTATTTTTATGGAGAATTGTATAGAAACAATAAAGGCAATAATAAAAACAGAGGCAGTCAAACATTCAGGTGATGAAAGTTTGTAGATTTGATTAACTTAATGATAGTTGTTACGAAATCGCAGCTATGTTTCATTTGACCCTGCGGGGTTATACACAGCGGGGGGAATTTTTCCTTAAAGAGCCAGTGTCAAGACACATCTTTTCCCCCCTATGGGCTGGGGGAGCCAC